TATATATACTATATATGTACGTGGCTTAATTTTTTCTCCCAATTTAACCTTAAATATTTTAAGTTTCTTAAAATAGAATACCAAGTGACAAATCAACTAGGACTAGGAGTAGGATAAACCAACTTGAAATAGACTTTAATTAGATTAAAACATTTAAATCCTTCTTAAACTAGGTTTAAGATCGGAATATCTATAAATTATCTCGATCCACCATTAAGTCTTTCATTCTTTTGTAAGATTAAATTAAATTGAGCTATTAGCACTATGGAGATTTTCGATTACAAAGAGTCAAAATTGCATTACTCCTTTGCGTATCCCAAAAGAAAATTAAGAATTTTCAATCGTCCTTCTACGTTTGAATTAGTCGAAATTCAATTAATTTGTAAAACCGAACATCTTTGGCATGATGTTTCCGGCAAACAAATCAAACGTGAACGTCCACAAATCTCAACATGTTTCACTATGAAATTTGAAGATTTCAAGAATCCAGAAAAGACTCGTCAAGCCTTACACAACCAACTAAGAACTTGCAAATTTCCATCCTTCGAATGCAAAATGATCGTTGATGAGTTGATTGAATTGGCACATAAATATCGTAATCGTTCTGTGCTAGTTGGCGATCGTCGCGTGTTGGAAGTTGGTGTTAGGTTTGATATGTCTCATATGTACAAGCAAAGATATGAGAAATATGATAGTAATATCATGGCAAGAACTCTTTCAAGTATAAATTGTGAAATATGTGAAGAAGGTGTATATGGAGGATCAGCAATTATAAAGATGTGCAAACATATATTTCACTTCAACTGCATGAAAAGTTGGTTAGATAGGAATATTGGTTGCCCTACATGTAGTCATGAAACCCCATCCTATCTAGATTTTATTAGTTTCTAAGTTTTTTTTTTCCTGATGGTTTGTGTGAATATTTTTTATATTTATAGCAGCTTAGGTAGATTAATGTCATATTAATAATATTTTTCAAATTTTATTTTACTTTTTTGAAGTTACAACATGTGTTTAATTGGTTGTTTTCTATATCGATTTAATTTTTAATTCGATATATTAGCTTCTTTTTTTTTAGAGAGAAGTATTGAAAACACTAGTAAAGTTGGCGTCAATTATTAGTTTCATTCCCGAATTATTGACAATCTTAAAAACACCCCCGTTACCTGAGTAACTGAACTTAAATACACTCCCGATCTTGCAAAATGAGTGAAATACACCTAAATTCTTGCCAAGTTTAGGGTGTTTTCAACGCTTCTCTCACTTTTATATTAAGAGAATCATGTCCCTACAAGAGTTTGAGACCACTAGTTATGTCATGTGGCATATCATGGATGTATCTAAGTTTTGTTAGTCAAATAGAGGGTTGTTTTTAAGGTTGTCAATAGTTCGAAGACTAAACTAATAATTTGTGCCAAATATTTTAGTGGTGTTTTCAATATTTCTCTCTCTTAATAATATGAGGAAAGTGTTTTCTACATTTAAATACTTGAAATCAATAAAATAGATTAAGGCAAAATGGTTTGATAGACCCTACTACTTATATGAGCTTGTATTCTGGACCCTTCTACTTCACTCATTGTCAACTGAGCCCTTAAACTCAATGAAATTCTATGTTTTCAACCCTTTTGGCCATTGACCAAGCTTATGTGACAACCTCATTGTTGAGTTGACAAAAATACATGATGTCACGCATAGAAAGAGCGTGAACATTTAAAAGTAATTTTTTTTTTTAAAATAGAATAAAATGATCAAAAATAAGAAAATTATTTTTTTCACTTCTTTCTTCTTTTCCCACCCCACCCTTCCCCATTTCTTTTTGTTTTCTTTCTACTCAAACCCCCATTTCTCTTCTTTCTCCCCGTCCCAACCCTCTCCAGTTTCTTGTTTCTCTTTCTTTTTTCTTTCTCCCAGGATTAGAAACTAAATTGTATTGTTATTGTAGATCTGTAATTTCCTTTTATTTTTGGGGGTAATTTACAACCCATAAAGTGATAAAGATTCAATAGTCTTGAACGATGAAAAGTGATTGTTGAATGTCTTTGTGAAATTAGGTGAAATGTGTTATGTAAAATTGTGTACAAATATTAGAGTATATTGATGTATTTTAATGGCTATTCGTTAGCTTCAATGGGGAATAGAGAGTTTATGTTGGTTCAAGTGGTAGATGTAAATGTTGGTAAAAAAATACGATTGAAAGTTGTGAATAAAAGAAATTTTGAGAAAAAATCGAATGATTGTTAGTTATTTAGGAAAGTGATGACACTAGTGAGAATGGATGGTTGTGGTGGTATCTTTAATGTAAAAAAAATATGGAGAGAGGTGAAGGGATGAAGTGAAAAAGAAAGAAAAAATATACTATATAGTTTTTAAAATAATAATAATAATAAGTGATGTGTCATTTAAAATGTGATGTGGATGATGATATGTCATTTTTGTCAAGCGTTTGAAATTCACACACAACCAATGGAGTTTAAAATGCTTAGTTTCATTGAGTTTAAGGACTAAATTAACAAAGGATCAAGTAGAATTTGTCCAGAATACAAACTAACTCATACAAATACAGGCGTCTATCAAGCTATTTCGCCATAGATTAATAATAAAATGCAGAATAGCTAGAGTAACGTATAATAACATATAAAATTAAAGTAATTAATCTTAATAGGGGAGAGATTAAACTCACACATGGGTTAATTAAAGAGATAAAATAAAAGGGATCTCTTCAATTAAGTATCATATTCACAAGTAAACCCTCAATAGTATCGTATCATATTTAAATCTTTTTGGATAGTCCAAGAGTATTTTTGGCCCTTTTTTATTGTTAGATTTGTTATCTAACAATTAGGTTAGTTAAAAAGCAAATCCTAAACCTAGTGAAATTAGTAAATTAAATTTGATAGTTAAAAAAAAATATAAAAAAAAATAAATAAATAGAGAGGATAAATTGAATTTCTTTTCCCATTGGGAAATGGCTTATCACTATTTGAATTAAAATTTGAGTTTAGTTTTTGTGCGGTGAAAATACATAATAAGTTTATAAGATTAGGTTAAGTTACTCGTGTTATAATAAAGAAAATTAGGTAACTTAAAAAATAAAGTAAATTTATTATAATTAGTACATATACTATATCTGTACGTGGCTTAATTTTTTCTCCCAATTTAACCTTAAATATTTTAAGTTTCTTAAAATAGAATACCAAGTGACAAATCAACTAGGACTAGGAGTAGAATACTAAACCAACTTGAAATAGGCTTTAATTAGATTAAAACATTTAAATCCTTCTTAAGTTAGGTTTAGGATCTGAATATCTATAAATTATATCTTGATCCACCATTAAGTGTTTCATTCTTTTGTAAGATTAAATTTAATTGAGCTATTAGCACTATGGAGATTTTCGATTACAAAGAGTCAAAATTGCATTACTCCTTTGCGTATCCCAAAAGAAAATTTAGAATTTTCAATCGTCCTTCTACGTTTGAATTAGTCGAAATTCAATTAATTTGCAAAACCGAACATCTTTGGCATGATGTTTCCAGTAAGCAAATCAAACGTGAACGTCCACAAATCTCAACATATTTCACTATGAAATTTGAAGATTTCAAGAATCCAGAAAAGACTCGTCAAGCCTTACACAACCAACTAAGAACTTGCAAATTTCCATCCTTCGAATGCAAAATGATCGTTGATGAGTTGATTGAATTGGCACATAAATATCGTAATCGTTCTGTCCTCGTTGGCGATCGTCGCGTGTTGGAAGTTGGTGTTAGGTTTGATATGTCTCATATGTACAAGCAAATATTTGAGAAATGTGATAGTAATATCATGGCAAGAACTCTTTCAAGTATAAATTGTGAAATATGTGAAGAAGGTATATATGGAGGATCAGCAATTATAAAGATGTGCAAACATATATTTCACTTCAACTGCATGAAAAGTTGGTTAGACAGGAATATTGGTTGCCCTACATGTAGTCATAATAGGACGGAGTATCTAGATTTTATTAGTTTCTAAGTCTTTTTTTTTTTTTTTGTCTGAATTTTTTGATATTTATAGCAGCTTAGGTAGATTAATTTCATATTAATATTTTTCAATTTTTATTATATCTTTTTGAAGTTTCAATGTGTTTTTTGAAGTTTCAATATGTGTTTAATTGATTGTCTTCCGAGTGTTTTCTACGAAGATCCCTCCACTTTTATTCTTAAGGCTCGAACTCAAGACTGTTGATTAAGTGATAGTAATTCAAATACGTGATATCAATAAATTAGACCGATAATGAAGTGTAGAAGAGATAACGTAACGTACAATAACATATGAAATTGGAATAAGTAATCTAAGGGAGAAGAGATTGAACAAAGAGAGAAAATAAAAGGGATCTCACCAAAGAAGTATCATATTAATTTTAAAAAATAATCTAGGCTTCTTCAAGTAAACCCTCCATTTAGCTATTCATAGTATATAAGTGGACTGATGACAAATAGCAAATGATAGCACTTCAAGGCCTTGATATATAAGTATATTGATAGCATAATGGACCTTAATTGCAAATTGTAGCATTCAAGGCTTTTATATTTTCTTGGGTGGGTTCTATATATGTTGTAAGAGTTTGGCCGAATATCATTAAAGAGGAATAGTCGATCCTATTTATTCCATCACAATCTATGTAATGATTCCAATTTCATATTACTATCAATCATGCTATAGTTTGTTTAATTGATTTCAATTTCATATTGCATCACATAAACTAAATAGTTGCAACAACTAATATATGCTATGATACACTATTCCAAGAACAAAGCTTCTTATGGAGTATATGATTGCCAAAGGAAGAATTTAATTTTATTAGGAATCGATAGTTTCCGATATTTCTAGTTGAAATTTTAACGCAAGATTATTGTCATATAAATTGAAATAACAGGAGTATGTAACAACTCACAAATTAAATTACATATGAACGATATAAGATCATACTATAGAAGATAACATAATATAAGTTGTTGTGTCAATGTCCTTCCCTACTAACAGACCCTTTAAAAACATAAACAAAATCCCCATTTTCAACACCATGCCAACGAAGACTACAATTATCCCTCATAATCCTTTGTTTGTGAATAAAAATATATTCATCCATAGGAAGAATTTTTCGATCTAATAATAGTTGTCTCAAATTATTTACCGTGCCCAAATCACTCATTTCAATTGGAATTTTTGCTGAATTAAGCAAACTAGATGATGTTTGCACCACTAGACTAATTCCTCTCGAAGGTGTCTCAGTAACCATACGTGACATAGTCTTTAAAAACACAATAATTTCTGAAAATTCTTCAACCCCATATTCGATTAAACTTCGATATTCATCGTTTAATTCGTTGCCAGAAAAGAAAAGAGACATTCTTCTTATTGGGGTCCCATCGATTATGTGTATTTTTTCTTTTAGGCTTTGGACAGTTTCGGTACTGTCAATATCTATGTTTAGTTTTCTTGATGACATTTTGACTATAATTTGGAATTTTGAAGAAACAATAATATTATTTTGCTGTAAGGATGTTTCTCCAATAATATTTTCGATGATTAATTGGATTTTTGTACCTTGTGTTATTACTGGATAATCTTGAATGTTGAATCCATCCAATAATTCAAAACCCAAAAATGAAAGAGTTTGTGAAGCCATTGGTACTCCTAAGAAGTTTTGTATTTTTTGTTTTGTTTGGAGAATTGGTTCTTGAGGGTTTATTTCCATGGAAAATTCATAACCATCCATAACAATGGTGATATTCATATGATATGTTAAATGTGAAATGATATTGGGCAACAAAGAGATAAGTTAAGAAAATAGAGAAGGCAAACTATGAAATAATTGAAGAAATTGGATGGAATATAAAACAAAAGATCACATGGAAAGAACGATATTTCCTCCGTCTCAATTTATGTGATGTAATTTAACTTACAAAGTTTTAAAAATATGAAAAGACTGCAAGGTTCCAAAATTATTTAAATTAAATGAATTTTTAAATAGAATAGTACACATTTTGTGGACTTTTTGCCGAACAAGTGATACCCAAGGGTAAAATGTTGATATCGTTATTAAATATTTGTCAAATAAGAAAATGTATTATTCCTTTTAGGACTGACTAAAAACGAAAATATGCCATATAGATTGAGACGGAGGGAATACTAATCATCTTTTTGCAATTTGACATGCAAAATTTACCAAGACGGTAGGTGAGTGCATGTCCCATTAACATGAATGTTCCACAAACATTTCCTGACTTGTCAAACTGCAAGAAGTAATCATGTTATTAGAACGTGGTTTTGACCACTATTTAGACAAATTTTCAAAGGTAATTTAGATGAGACATCACCATATGTTGAGAGTAAATATGGAAGGAAATTTAGAAAGCTATATATGTCACAACCCCAGAAATTTTAACTAGTTATTTTTTTTCTTGAATATTTGTTTAGCAAATGAATCTTTTCTTATTTAATTTCTCTTACAATTTATCATCATTTCAGATCGGGCCCTAAATTGTGAGTTATTATCAATGTTATACCATAGTATAAATATTTTTGAAAAAATTGTATAAAATAGCAAACTATTAATTCATATTAAATGTTATAACCACAATTTCATTTAATTCTAATCCGTAGCAAACACTTGCAATTCACCTCTCTCCCAGAAATCTCGCTCGCCACTCTCTCTCACCTCTCTCACTTTATACAAACACAAATGTATAAATTGTGTTTGTGTTTGTATAAAGCGAGAGAAAACTATATATACAAATACAAATACATATATTTTCGTCCTAATACACTTATAATTATACAAATACAGATCTTTCTCTACTAGTTCTCTTTTGCCTTTCTCTCTTTCTCACTTTATACAACACAAATTATACAAATGTTTTATTTCAAATTATGTATAATTTGTGTTAGCGAGAGAAAGAGAGATTTGATATACAAATGTTTTATTTCGATTCATTTGTATACAAATTCAAATTTTATGCAGATATACAAACATAAAGAACATATACATATACAAACACAATTTTCATAGACACAGACGCCTGATTTATACAAATTGATGCGATTTATACAAATCAGATGCCTGCGATTTTATACAAATCAAAGTTGCCTGTGATTTTTATACATATCTGATGCTCTATAGCAAACATAAAATTTGATATGGAGCTCAACTATGCAAACTATAGCTATATCATACAAATATGATTTTTATGTTTGCTAAACCTTAAATTTACTCAATATTTTATCAGTAGAGTTGAGAAATATATGAACAAACGTTATAATCTAAAATATAAAAAGAGAAATTATCTAATTACACAAATATTCCTACCACATTTACTAAGTTTTCCTATAGTTTGAAATAATTACATTTTATATCATTAATTAATAATTTCATATCAGAAACACTTAGATACATGTTTGATGATGCCAGATACACTGAAATAAGAAGAGAGGCAAGTGAGAATAGGAGAGAGGTGAGCGAGATTTGTTTATGTATCTTAGATAAATGTGAATCACATCAGATACATACATATACATGTGTCCAGTGTGTATCTAGTGTGACTCACATGTAGTTGGAATATCAGATACATAGGAGAATGGCAAGCGAAATGGGAGGGAGGGGAGTGAGATATATCTATATATCTCAAGATACATGTGAATCCACTTGGATACAATGCATCTAGAATAAATTACACCTAATTTGATCTCATGCATCCCAAGATATATGTATCTTGACCTATCTTACCGCACCAAAATCTTATAAAATTCGTAATATTGCAAACTAACGTGTATCTAAGTAATTAAATGAAATCTTCAAAAGAGGGCATTTGTGTAAACGAGTCATCCATTTGTCGTCCAACTTGGGAGCAGGGCGGCTAGTAAGGGTTAGAAAAAAGTCATTGGCCTTAGGCCCCCAATTTTAGGGGGCCCTGTTGTGCCATAATTTTCTTATCTTTAGAAAAATCACTTTTTTGAAATGTTCTAAGTATAAAACAATTTGAGAAAAAATATTTAGAAAAGAGTCGCCACTTAATTTTTTAAAGAAATTAAGAAAAACTTAATTTAAAAAGGCTTTCACAGATAAACCTTTAAAAATTTAGATAAAATGGGTAAGAAGTTCTTATTTCTACTCTAAGAAGGTATTAGCACTTAAAGTAGCCGCTAACATGCGGCTATCCTATGACTTGACTAAAATAATTTTTTGACTAATTCTTTGGGAAAATGATTTAACATAAAAATAATAATTTATAATATTTGATTAACTTTAAGAAAATAATTAAATAAATGACACATTTTATATTATTTTATTTTATTTAGAGAAAGGGATCCAAAATGGAATATTTGACTCGAAATACAAGTGATTAGAATTTTAATAAAACTAGATTAATTAGAATTTATTTGACTTATTTTATTTATTTATTTTTATAATAATTTAAACCAAATTGGTTTGAACATTGAAACCATTTAAAATTAATTGAAGAATAAAAGTTTCGACTAACCTTTTTGAGAAAATGCCAAAGTATGTATTTTTTTTAAAAACAAAAATTGATTGAAAAAGTTGACTAACATTTTCCAAGTTTATTTGAGAAAAAAACACTTAAACATAAAAACATTTTTAAATGAGTAAAAACGTGATTTGAGTGAAAAGCATTAAATAACAAATCTTTTTAAGAACAACGATTCAACTTAATTAAAGATATAAAATTTGATCGATATTTGATTAATAAAATAAATGACCACAACACAAAAATAATATATAAAGCAAACCAATACTAAGAAAATAACTCATCTTTTGGGGAATCTAATTAAGTTAAAACCAAAACAAATAAAGCCAGAGTTAATAAAAACAAATAATAAATAATCACGATTAAATAATTTAGGAGAGTAAGGGAGAAATTGAATTTGGGCCTTTCTTGGGCCAAATTCGTTGCTACTTTTGGGGTTTAACCCAATTCCCATTTTTGTATACATCAGCTGTATATTCTTGTATACGGGTCGGATTTTGACCAATTTTCCTGTATATTGAACCGTATACCAAATGTATACAATCCATTTCTTCCCCTGCGACCTGTATTTCCGTTTTTAGTCACGTATTTGTTGCACTGATATGTATATCAGTGTATACATGATGTATTTCAGCCTGTTTTCAGCCTTTGGGACCTGTAATGCAACTCCTCTTTCAACTGTTTCAGCTTCCGAAATTCAAACAGGGATGAAGGCCGACTCAAAATGCAACACGGATGTGGACAATAGAGTCCAAGAGACTTGGTTGATAGATTTCCCAGGAGAAAAACAAAACAAAGCAAAAAATAAGGACTATTAGCAATTTTATTTTAAGAAAGTAACAGGCCTTATTGATAAGAAATCCATGGAACATATTTAAAAGAGGCAAGAAAATATTATCTTGTAATCAAACAAATGAGAGTAGTAATACATGCCATTTAAAAAAGTATATTTAATATTAGAGCACAACACAACTCTTGTGACCTATTTTAAATATTGAAATATTAGCAAAACTATATTCCAACATCTTCAAAACTTAACAAGAAAACAATCACATGATTGCCGACTTGAATGCAGTCCTGAAAAAATGCATTAAGAGATAGAGACTTAGCAAGTGCTTCCCTTAAACAGTGAAAAGCAACAAAGAGGGTTCATCTAAGTTTAAAACATGCAAGATTAGTATAGCTACACTAATTATAGAATTTAAAGACAATCAAATTCATATACTAAAAGAACTACAACTAAACTGATAATCATTCTTACCACAAGAGCTACTACCTCAACAAACCCAAATAGTCGAACATCACAATATAATCAACTATCACGTATTTAACCAAATCAAGATTAATTTCAAGACATAAGCAGATTAATACAACTTATAAGAAACTTGGACCATATGATGAACTAAAAAGAGGACAATCAAAAGAGAAAATAGGTAGTAAATCAAAGAGAAAACAATAGATTGAAGTAAGCCTAGAATCTGGAAAGCAACAGAACTTCACATCTTTTAAAAGCTCAACTACATATAACAAGAATTTTCAACTAAAATTTAGACCAAATGGAGACATGAACTTGATTTGAACATGACATGCTAATTAGTAGAACATTCATAGAGTTCGATCGTGGGGGCAAACAAGTTGTGACATATTAACATCAATAGGCTGCTTTATCATGAATCTTGAGGCTACAATTTCCAACATAATATCCAAATAGAAAGCTTTAGGAAATACACTTCATACACAAACAGACTAAACACACAAACTTGGACTAAAAACGCCTATTATCCAACATCAACGAGAAAAATAACATGTAAGACAAACAGAGGCATTTGGAAGGGATAAAATAGACAGAAAATTCATAAGGGGAGATTGAAAACCCCATCCTATTCCTAAACACAATGTTAACTAACAAATGAATTAAGATCAAAAGGAAATTTACCTTTTTCGGCGCAGCGACTGAAACCATGAGCTGAAACGAGCGATATCACCACCACAAGTGAGATTCCGACAAAGCTCCGATGAATTTCAGTAAGCGGCGAACGAAAATAAATAGAAACCTATTCCTCCATATTCAGTGAGTAATTATTGTCTTCCCTCCCCCTCCTTAACACTGAAAGAGCAGGGGTATTTTTAGGCTGAATTGAGAAGGAAACGGGCAGAAAATTCGGATGATTTTGAATTCAAAATTCGAATTCTCTTTGCTCTTTTCAAGGCAATAGTGGAAGAGATTCAGAAATCCCCGAAAAGAGGGAAAAAGGGGATGGCGACGTGATTGCTGCTGCAAGTGCCACTGTTTTTTCGGATTTGCTGGGATTTGGACGCTGCTTGCTGGAGAAATAGACGTTGGCGTACAGGGTGGGGTCGCTGGGTACTGTACTGCGATTTGAGTTTCTTCGCGTGAAGAAGAACGTGCAGGGGTCGGGTCGATTTGGTATGTGTATGTATTGTTATGTTGGGTTGGTGATATGAAAACAAACTGGGCCTGAGAATTGTTAATTTGGGTATTGCTGATATTGGGCTGGGAATTGGTTGCTGGAAATTTGAGGCCACTATGGGCTGCTGAAAAATGATGAAAAGGGCCCAATTTGTCTTGCAAAGACTTGAAGATAAGGTGAGAAGTGGCTACAATTGCAATCATAAAGGATTACAATTATAACTAATCGAAGCCTTGATCATAGTCTTTTTGAATTAATTTGTGAGTTCGACTAAAAATAAAAAAAGATGAATTAATGTAATTAAATTATGAGCTTCTCAATCTTAACTAAATGAAATAATTACTTACTAAACTAAATAATTTTTAAACTAAACTAATATATAACCAAACTAACTAATCAAAACAAAAAATCTTTTTTGAGACGATTTTTGAATATTCATAAAATATACTAATTATATAAATAATTATTTAAATCATATATATTACTTAAAAATTATACAAAGTGACAAAACTATTTAAAATAACTTGAAAAATATTTTGAATTTTATAAAGTCAATTATTTCAAATTGTTTGGAATTTAAGAAGCTCAATGATTAATATATATTGTGGAGGTCCAAAATTGGGTGTCAACAGGCCCCCATTTTTTTAGTTAATTAGGTAGGATTTAAACTAAAAAAATAAAATTAGAACTAAGACAACAAATGCAAACGGCATTAATGAAGTGATAGATATGATAATTACTTATTATCTTTCCAATAAAAAGTTGTGTACTTTTTTTTTTAATGTACAAGTTATATTTTCTTTTTTAACCTTATTCTTTTTCTAATTTTATTTTTAAATATTCTATCCTCCTCTCTTCTTCTGTTCTATTTCTTCTCTCTCTCTTTTCTAATCTTACATCTCTCTCTTATTCAAAGCTTAAGTTTACTTGTTCTATTGATAGTTTATATTTTAAATTTATAATTTTTTAATTTCTTTTAAAGTCAGGCCTCTAGTTTGATTTTGGCCTTAGGCGACCAACGGATTTGAGCCGCCCCTGCTTGGGAGTGAAGAAAAGGATTAGATGAAACTTTGGAGGGGTCAATTAACTAGGGAAAATAATATAGGAGAACAAGTACAAATAATAAAAGTTGATAAATATTTCTCTTATTATACGTCAAAATTGAAACAATAATTTAATTTATTAACCAAAGGCCCCGGAGTAACAGCCAAAAAGGGTTAACACATCAAGATTTTGATGGTGGAACGGTCATAATCGAAAAGATTTGTTCTTTAATTTTACCTAATTTCACTATAAAAATTAACCCAATTGCAATGACTAGTCCTTTAATTTAATATACTATATGTGAGTGTGTCACTTAAAAATTCTATTATATTTTTATATAAGCATGATAACTAAAATGGTTAATGGAGCACAAATGAGTTTAAAGAGTGCATGAATTGGGGGATCATATTGGTGGCATTGAATGTGAGAATTTAAGAAAAAAAAAATTAGGGATACATACTATTTTCTCGGTTTTATTTTATGTGATATTATTTGACTTGGGACGATTTTTGAAATTTATGCTTTAAAATAATTTTTAGATATTTGTGTGGTTGTAAATCATTTTAAGAAAATAAGGGAGAAATTTTAAAGTTAAATTATTTTTAATTATAATAAGATAATATTTTTTTTGAATAATTAAAAAAGAAAAGATGTCAAATAAAATGAAACGAATGAAGTAATGCTTGTGCATCACTTTTACTTTTTGCAATAATTCTATCCTTTATCCTGTTAATATATTGTCGTGACATAGAAGTCCAAATAGATATATAGGCCCCAGGTTATTTGAAGAAAAATATTTCTAAAAGCAAATAAATCAAGTACTCTTGACAATAATGTCAAATCAAAACGAATAAAAGTTAATTTGGGGTACTTTATTATAATAGAAAAAGGAAAATAAAATAAAAAATATAAAAAGTTTTCCTTACCTTTGAAGAGTAACATCTATATGTTGGTTTGCAATTATTGAGATGTAATGAATATGCATGATGTTGATAGCAAGATGATTTACTAAGTAATTAAATCAAAACATGTTTGATCAAGTATTGGATATCAAAAAGGGATAAGTCAAAAAAGTGTGAGGTCAATCTTTTAGGACTACGCCAAAAAAAATTGACAGCATAATTAAAGAAAATAGCTTGATTGTCATTAAATATATATTTTTAAAAGCGATTAATACTCTTTATAAATATCCCTAAAACCTATAGAGACATTGAATTCTAAAATCTATAGAGACATTGAATTTTGTGGCAGTTAACTACTCCCTCCATTCCATATTAAGTTAATTTTTGAGGTGTTTCACACCCTTTAAAAAAAGTAGATTAAGACATAAATTGAACTTAGTTTTCCATTTTTACCCTTATTAATTATTGTCAAATTTATGATTAAAATAACTAAACATTTATTAATCACTAATTCCAATACTAACTAATGAAGGGTAAAATTGGAAGAACACTCTAAAAGTAGTCTTGAAAACTGGCAATTAAGTTAATTTGAAAAATAGAAAATGCCTCAAAAATTAACTTAATATGGAATGGACGGAGTACTAAAATTTACTCCCTCCGTCTCATTTTATATGTCATCCATTTATATAAATAGTTGGACCACAATACTTGTAATTTTATAAAATTTATGCATAAATTATCATATTTTGTCTATTATACCCTTGATAGAATAGTTAATTAATCTTGTCATTTTATTAATAAAGTTGACTTAAGAACACATTAAATAAGGGTAGAAGGGTAAAGTTACATCATTTCTTAATGTAAGTGCAAAGTAAAAAGTTGACATATAAAATGAAACGGAGAGAGTAACATTCTTTATTAATGTGCATATTTAGTGTTGCTAAAAGCATTTTTTATTGTAGTGATGTGTATAATATATTTATGTAATGGTAACATAACTTATTATTTTAAAATTGAACAAGTAGGCCTTTTGCTAGGGTTGGACTGTCTATGTTAGCCTCCCCTTTCCTTTTTTGTGAAGGATAAGTTTTTATTCTTGTGTTGTATTAGGAGGTAAGGTCAAATCCCCTTTTTTGTATTTGCCTCATAATATATAACACCCCAAATAACCTTAACTAATATTATTATTTTTAAAAGGGAAACAAGTAGTTTCTTCTTATAATTATTAGAAGCAAAAATTGTTTTCCAAGAGTTGCAAATATAGCTTCTCCCTCTAGACAAATTTCTATCCTAATTAAAATAAGAAGATATATCAAAAGGATCTTTGAAGTATCCTTGGTAAAAAAAAAACGAGGTCCAAAATCAATAAACAAAGCCGGATTTTAAAGAAAAATTGGCTATATATCAATAGACTTATACATCATCGATCCATTCAATTTTTTGGATCAATCCTGTCCGTCGATTTCCTCATTATTTAGTAGTGACTTGATATAGTAACAACTAATTTAAAGGGTCATGACTAAAAAAGAATAAAATTAAAGATATTAGTGGTGTTTGTTCCCTAATAAAGAAGCTAATTAGACAGCCTGGAAATAAAACACCACAACAGTTGGCAAAAAGTTTGAGACAACATGGATAAAGAAAAAGTGAAATATATACTTGTAATTATGACTTTTTTAATTGTTATAATTAATCACAAAAAAATTAATTAAAGATCGCTGACGTACGTCTTTTAATATCCATGCACATTCTTATATTCTCCCCCCAATAAAGATAAAGCCAAATAGAGATTATTGATCTAATTAAGCTTTTATCAAAAGAATAATCCTAGTAGCTATTACTATTAATGAAAAATGAAAAAGAAATATACAACTTATCATTAAGTTATACCTCTTATTTCAAAAAGTATGTTCTTTTATAGTTGTCATTTCTGATATTCGAAGCAATTGAATTTTAAAGTTTTTTTTTCCAATTTTTCCCCACAAATGACAAGACGTTGATTGATTTTTTTTTCTTTTCAAATTAATGGAATAAAATTAAATTAAGAAAATACAAAGAAGGATATCGACAAGCTTGCAGACTTTATATGGAAGATTGAAGAAACTATATGGTAAATAGTTTGTTCGGCGACAACCCCCTATTTTGTGGAACTTTAAGACTTTGGGTATGTTCGATACGGAGAAAAATATTTTAATTTTTTTTTTGCTCTGTTGGATAAAGTTTTGAAGAAAAAATTATTGAGAAAAATGATTTTCATCATTAGAATATGAAAAATAACTAATTAAACAAATACCACGCTAATTGTGTCTTCCATAACCTTTTATATACTTCATCTTCACTCCATCTTGGTAGCCACCATCCTCACCACCCCTACATTCCCTATTCTCATCTTCCATAATATGCTATTCGTCTAGATATTTTTATATACACGGGTGACTCAAGTACATTAACAGCCTAAAGCCAAAATTATATTGAAGTGTTAAATTTTGATATGATATTTATAAAATTTATTATAATTATTCATTTAATCTTTTTGGAGATATAATATTCTAGATGTGTTAGATCGAACGATTCTTTCCTTGAAAATTTTACATTTTCTATACATAATATTCAAAAATATAATAATTTTAAAAAATACCTATTACCTATTATTACTAAAATAAAAAAATAAGACCCCAAGTTTGAAGGGCTAAGACACAGCCTTTTTATTTTTTTAAGCATGCAGAGCCAGCCTGATTTCAAATTTCAATTATCCTACCGACAAGCCATCACCACTAGCTCTTAGAATATGATTTTATGAAAGAAACAATTATTGTAACACAATGTAAATTATTAATTTCTCTCATATTTTGTGGATACAATATTATTATAATTTATTTGAATTCTATATTATTATTTTTATGTAGTATTAAGGATGAAGTGAAGATAATAAGTACTTTTTTTTATATATAAATAGAAGGTAATAAGTATTAGGGGTGTACATAGGTCGGTTTGGTTTGGTTTTTCATTAAAAAAAATAATCTAAATCAATTATGTCGGTTTATTAAATCTAAAAACCAAATCAA